GGAACAGGAAGCCCTGGGCGTGGTCCCACTTCTGTACGACCAGCTATGTGAGCTCTGAGTGCCATTGGTGTGGGACTCATCTGTAAAACGGGGAAGTGACTAACTGATCCTGAAGGTCCTTCTGATCTTCAACGTTCCAATTTTTTCAACTTTCCAATGATTCTGGAAAAAAAGTTGAGTCCCTTTAAGAAATGAGTTCTAAAGCGTTAACAGCCTGTGCAGGTTCATAAAGATGTGTTAGTATTGGTGACTCCACTAAGCCAATTATGTACTTTTTTCAGTTACTGATAAGTGGAGAGAGGGGGGCAGATTAGTAAGTCTGGTTGCCAAGGAAACCACCTAAAAAACCCACGGTGGACATGTCCTGTGGATACGATGCATGCTGGATGGTCACGACCTCTCTTACCAACAGAGAGAATCATGTGTAGAATACAAATGACACAAGGGCAGGACCCCCCCATTCCCCCTTCCCCATTTTTCTTAAATGAAAATAGCCAGAAAATGAGTAGATGTGCAGAATAAAGCTACTTGAATATTGTAAAATGTAGGGATCACCCCAAAGACAGCATTTTATAACAAGACTTTACTTTTTGGCTTCAAGACTTACCTCTAGTTTAGGGCCTTAGACAAAGCTGAAGATGCAGCTCTATTTGTGACTGACTATTGTATGTACTTTATAGGGCTGGAGAGGTCTTTGTACCTGAGTAGCCCATCTTTTCAGACACTGTGTTGAGTTTAAGCAGTTGGCACCTAACTCTTGGGCCCCAGGGTTCCCCTGACTATCCATTCTTGGAAAGTCAGGAGATAAAAAACTTGACTGGGCTTTTATCTACTTCTGTGCATGTGAATCTGTGAAGGGCTTCTTATATAAGGAGAAAAGAACTATGAGAATGTGAAATGTGTTCCCATCAAACTAATATTTAAATGTTTACATTTATTTACCTTCTGCTCGAAAACAATTTTGCTCTAAATAAGCCAGCTTAAGGACTCTAGGACATTATATTTGTTTACATGTTTGAAGAAAGAATATGATCTTCAAGTGTTTACAGACTCTATGTGGGTGCCCCCTGGAGGTCACAGGGCCATGCTTGGGTGGCTCTATCTACCAGGTGGCTCTGGGGTTCTTAAGAGGAATGGGGAACCAGATCAGATACAACCTAGATCTGCAATATACCTGTCCTTTCATATCTGAGAGGCCAGGAATAACCAAGGTATAAAGTCTCGTAATTGCTTGCAAAGTGTATGGGAGAGTTTTAGGCATATTAACAGTGGGGGACAGGAAAATAAAACTCAAAACTCAGGGAAGAAGCGGGGAGAGGACAGGCTGCCTGCTCATTCCATTTCACCTCCAGGAGCAGAGCTGTTGGAACCACAAAACTGGCTTTGTGTGTCTGGGGAAGAGGGCATATTCAGGCTCCATTATTTTAGGATGTATTTCTATGATCAGGTTTTAAGCCCATGAAGACACCGATGAGTTTGATTTTACAGATATCACAATATTAAACTGAAGCACCGACTCAGACATAGGTAATAAACTCACACCAGCCTATTCAAATAACTACTGTATTTCATTGCCCTTCTGATCTTTTTTAAAACGCTTTACTACCTCTAGAAATCAGTATGCATCTTAAAATCTATGACATCATAGACTCAATGATAGTATTTATGGAGATTTATTTATT